AGTCAAAAATTAATATAAACTTCATAAATCTTTGTTTTACTCGAGATATGAAATATAAGCTTCATAAATTTTTATTTTATTTAATATAAACTTTAATAAAATAGCATAAAGCACAAAAAATAACAATACAAAGTACAAAAATTAAAGAAACTCATAAATTTAAAATATATAGCATTATTTAATATGAGATATAAATCAATAATATGTAGTAACTTTCAAACGTTAAAAATATTTCAAACTACACATATTACTTCTCTAAAAGAAAGTAACCATAAACATTATCAATACTATAATTTAAAACATTATTCTTTCACGAATAAATACAAGTTCGCTTTCAAATAAAAAATAAATAAAAGTTTAATAATTCAAAAGACAAAGAATCTAGATGTAAAGGTCGATAGAAATTAAAGGCATCAATTTTAGTTAACTAGTTATTTTTATAAGAATGTACAAATAATATTTGTTTTCACAAAATATTACCAATTAGTAATTATGCAATATTTTAACTCGCTATTTGAGTTACTCTCAATTTATAATTTTCCATCGATAAATTAATCTTTAGTTATTCATTGGTAAAAGAATTTAAGGTTTACTAAAAAAAAAATAGGGCGAAAATGAATATTTACCAAAAGTAAGGGGCTATAATGCTCTGAAGATTTTATTATTTTTTTTCTTCTTTCTCTTCTCTCGTTCCAACGGCTCTCAACAGTAAAATGCAGCACCGGCAAGAGATCGATCGCCACCGCAGCGTGGTGGTGGAGCTACCACTCGGAGACGGAGACGGAGACGGAGGCTGCGCCACATTCGATTTGGAAAAAGCAGTATGTAGCCACGGCCTATTTATGATGGCCCCAAACCGCTGGGACTCTCTCTCCAAAACCCTAGAACGCCCACTACACCTCTCCGAAAACATCAACGATGATGATCACGAACAATCAGTTCTCGTCCAAATTAATCAACCCTCGGATTCTCCTCATTCACTCCTTCTTCGAGTTTTCGGTACTGCTTCCCTTTCTACTATACACCAACGCTCTCTGCTGGTACTCCTTTTTCCGAAAGTATTTGTGTAAATTTTGTACCTTATGCATTTCCTTGTGTGGCTTTGTTTATTGGCTGGGGTTTACTTTTACTGTTATATAGGGTCAAGTGAGGCGAATGGTGAGATTATCAGTGGAAGAGAATAAAAGAGTGAAACAGTTTCAGGAGATTTGTGGAGAAGCAAAGGACAGGGGACTTGGGAGAGTGTTTAGATCGCCGACATTGTTTGAGGACATGGTGAAGTGTATGCTGCTCTGCAATTGCCAGTGAGTAGTTGAACTGAGTAGCAGTATTAAACTAGTTACATTCATTAATCAAAAAGAGACAATATAGTATAAACCTATGCTAAGAATTTTTCTAGTCGACCCAATGATGTTATGCAAGCCCAGTAGGGAAGTCAAGCTTTTGAAGAAAACAAGAGAATGAACCAATTGTTTCATGAGAAGTGAAATTATGGACATGTAGCCCTGGTAGCAGCTTGATGTGGTGTTTGGATAAAATCAAAAGAAAGAAATATTCATAAATGTGTGGCCTTTTCTGATAATCTTTGCTTCCTTTGTGTAGGTGGTCAAGGACGTTGAGCATGGCTGAAGCATTATGTGAGCTTCAGTTGGAGCTGAACTGTCCCTCGTCAGCTGCATCTTTTCCTGATCCTGATAATCAAAATCAGTTGAAGGGCGTAACTTTCAAGTCTGAGCATTTCACTCCAAGAACACCAGCAGGAAAAGAATCACGGAAAAGAGCTGGAGCTTATGGATGTTCCAGAAAATTGTTGGAGAGGCTTACCGAAGTCGAAGAAATCATAGATATAGGGAAACCGGGTGTAACTGTGACACCTGCATTTTCAGTTGGTGAAGAGGTTCTCAAAAAAAGTAATCTTTGTCGAGATACTACTGAGGTTTGCGATGTTGGTACAAGTGCACCATTCAATCTTGATCCTTCAGAAGATAGAAAGCTGAGCTCTTTTAATCAGCTTGGGAACTTCCCTAGCCCGAAAGAATTGGCAAGCCTTGATGAAAGTTTTCTAGCAAAGCGTTGTGGTCTTGGTTATAGAGCTGGCCGCATTATAAAGCTTGCTAAGGGCATAGTTGAAGGCAGTATTCAGTTGAAAGAACTTGAAGAAGCTTGTAGCAACCCAAGCTTGTCCGATTATGATAAAATGGCTGAGCAGCTGAGAGAAATAGATGGATTTGGCCCATTTACTTGTGCTAATGTACTGATGTGCTTGGGTTATTATCATGTGATTCCTACTGATTCAGAAACAATTAGGCATCTAAAGCAGGTATTACCTTTCACTTCAAACTTGACTTAAAGGCACGTCTATTACTTGTACCAATGTACACCTGTGCACGTAATATTCCCTTGAAATTATTATGGATTCATATGTTATTAGGAATCTTAAGACAGATCATTCACTTTTCCAAAAAAAATCCAGGTTCATGCAAGAACCTCCACCATACAGAACGTTCAAAGAGATGTTGAAAATATTTATGGGAAGTATGCACCGTTTCAGTTCTTAGCATATTGGTAAGCTGCTACACGCATTTCCCTATTCGAACTTATTCTCTATGTGAATTTCCTTGCCAAAGTTCTATTGTTGGTTTTTCTCTTAAGCAGGTCGGAGGTGTGGCACTTTTATGAGGAACGGTTTGGTAAGCTTAGCGAGATGCCCCACTCAGAATATAAACTTATTACTGCCGCAAATATGAGACGGAAAAGAAATGGCAAATGCAAGAAGTTGAAGATAACCTCAGCAGAAAAGCTTGGCGTGTAACTTAGAAGGATAATATTGAGGCCCAACTTTGATAACCTCAACAGAAAAGCTTGGCGTGTAACTTAGAAGGATAATGCTCATGCCTAACTTAAAATTCAGGCATGAGTGATTGATTAAGGGATAATTACAGTCCAATGCCTTCGAATATACGTAATTAGTGTATTGGTTTTTTATATTTCGGCCATATTGGTATGTTTCCTGATGATGATTAATGTTAAATTTGCCTTTTCTTTTGTTGATGCAACTTCCTTTCTCTTCCATGACGGTACATGCCGTAGACACGTAATTTTTTATTGAACTTAAGTTTAACTCCATTTTTAGAGATTAAATATTTTTATAATCTAAACTAAATATTTTGACTTTTATCTTATTTTATTAAGTTTATTGTAAAAGATTTGAAAATAACAAGATTAGAATCACTTTTTAAGATAAGTTTTATTTTCAATTGTTTAAAAATGAAAAGAAATGGAAAGCTACACAAAAAATATGTATTTTCTTTTAAATTAGATTTAATAATAAGTTAGTATTTCTTAATTATAATTTAGAATAGCTATTATTTATTCTTGTATTTTTATTAGCTAATATTTTTATTATTATAATATTTATTATATTTAATTAAAATAAAAAAATAACCTACCACTACCCTCACCCCACTTACTCCTCCACTACCCCCACATACCCCACTCCACTCACCACTCCCACATACCACAATTCCTCACAACACACACGTCTACACACTACACCACTACGGAACACAATACTACAATAACCAACACATATACACGACACACAACAAAAAAGAAAGGAAGAGAAAAAAATCAGCAAAATATATACACACAAAACGCCAGAAGGAGGAAAAAAAAAACTCATAGTTTATTTTATATTTTTTCTTTCACTCACAAACAAAAGTTGATGTTGAGGTTCATTTTCGTGGTTTCGAGTTCGTGGTTCCTTATTAGGATTGTTTCCTTTTCGTGAATTGATTTCGCAAGAGGTACCATTCAACTTTTTGTATAATTTGATTTTCACAATTATATAATACTTGATTTCAATGTTATGAAGTTGCTCGAATTTTATGTGCGCTTAATCTCATTATTTTTCATCATGTACCATAGGTTATTATTAATTAAGCATCTCTTCCATCCAATCAAAATTTACCAAATACCTGAAAAATTATTATAATAGTTTGTTTAGTCAACTTTATCTAAATAAAAATGTTCATCCTAGAAAAATTGAGAAATGAAGAGTTACACTTTTTATTTTTTATTTTAATGCTTTTTGTCATGACTTGTAAATATCCTAAAAATATAAATGCATCTATATCGAATTTTAATATGAAATAACTTTATATTTGTTTAAAATTTTAGACTTTTATTATGTAAATAGTGTTTATAAATAGTAGAGGTAATTTAATCACTAATAATACACTTAAATTTTCTAATAGTATGTAAAATATTAAAATATATGACCCGTTTCAAAGGTCGGTTTCAATTAAAATGTGGTTACACATCTTTCTTTGAAACACTTAAAAGAAACTCAAGGATGCGGTGACACACCTTGTCCAAATTGTTTTAATAATTAATTTTTGATAATTCAAACAAGAAGTATAAATTGATATTATTAAGCGTGATGAACTCAAGAGGGGAAGACAGTTATGTCTCCAAATGTCAAGATCGAGAATGCAGTTATGCATCCGATTTAAGACTTAATAAAATTCAACAATTAAAAATAAGCAAATTTTGGCATATAAACACAAATTATCCAAAAAATAATCATAATTTAAGTATAAGTCAATAAAAGTGACCGTGCTAGAACCACGGGACTCAAGGGATGCCTAATACCTTCCCCTCGATCAACAGAATTCCTTACCCGAATTTCTAGTTCGCAGACCATATTAAAAAGTCATTTCCTTTTGATTAGGGATTAAACAAAAAGGTGACTTGGAACACCATAACTCAATTCAAAGTGGCGACTCTGAAAAAATAACATAATCTCTAAATCAATACCGTCACTTAAATTGGAAAAACCTTACCGCTGCCATGCGCAAAAAGGGGTGTGACACATGCAACATATTTGTTTCATGTAGAAATCCTTTTCCCTCCTACAATTGCAAACACCGCAACAAGCTACCGAGTTGGTGATTAATGATATGTCTACCAAGTACTCAGTTCAACCAAACAAAAAATAATAATAGAAACATCTGCTCTTTTCAACATGCAGACAACTTTATAATATCTCACAAATCACAACAGAGACCAAGGAATGTTCATCCTCGGCTCCTTAACATAGGTACAACACCATCTGACTTCAGTAGCTCATGACTGTGCCATAACTGAAGCGTTACACGGCTCTACATTATTCATTGTAAAGAAGTTTGCAAGTGTTACACAGCTCTACATGTATTCATCGTAAAGAAGTTTGCTAGTGTTACACAGCTCTACATTTATTCATCGTAAAGAAGTTTACAAAAGGCAATGCCTTCAGAAATAGAATGTTGCAGCAAACAGTTAACAATTCTGCCAAAATTCAAGTCCAGCAGTTATGCCAATGGTTTGAGAAAGAAGATGGATGGCCTGTTCATTGAAATACTAACAAATTAGTGTGTGATAACATAAGTGGTTGTTGGTGCACATGTATGACTATTTAAGGCAATATAATAAATGAATATAGTCAATATTCTTTATCTCCAAAGTAATTAACTACCTCAGATTCTTGCCTCAGCATGTGGCATCAGGCTGTTTTTCTGGCATAGCATCCTGGAAAGCAGGCAGCTCTTGGTAAGCCTCAAATACCCTCAACAGAGTAGGGAATTGATTCTGCACATTGCATTGACAACTTTTAGGAAGAAGATATTCGTTAAAGAGAAAGAGATGTATGCATATAACTTCACCTAAGAAACATGAAAGTACCACCATTGACTATGGTAAATCAAGTAAGTGGGAATATACCATCCAGTTTATTTGAGAGGAAAAAACTATTTCTTGAAAGCAACAATTGATTAAAAGAAGACCCAAAAAAAAAGTAAGAAAGCAATGGATTGGCAAGACGCTAATTCACAGAAAGGTAAACTGTCAGGAAATGATCGATTGCTGCTACCAAGATGAATGAAGTGAAGCAGCAATAAATACCCCTTTATTTGATTAAGAAAGGTAGCAGTGCACTGCCTTGTCTCTACTCCAATATGAGAAAACAGAAGTAACTTTTAGGTACTCATTATGTATGCCATTGAGAAAAAATTCACAAGATCAGATACTTATTACCTGAGGCTTGTAAGACACTGAACTACATAAATCAAGAAAGACGTTAATTTCCCTTCTTTAGGTTTACAAAATCTTTATTGCACCATGTTCATTTTATACCAGAAAGCGAGTAGAAATGAAAATGACTCTCATGTATATGGTGGGATGTCTATTATAAAGGCATTACCATGTCAACTTCAAAACGCTTGATTGCCGCATGGATCTGAGGTGCCAGAAACAAGTCGGCCTGCGAGTTGCAAAATAAGCTAAGCATCTGAATTGGATTCTATATGGCATAATAGAAGTGTCAATCGTTTTGGTCTGTTAAAGATAATACTGAGTGAACTGAATCAGGTCATCACTATTTCATCATGCAGCTATAATTGTTTTTTTTTACAATCAAGTTCTAGTGAGCTTACTTATTACGTGAGAATTGAATGATCTTTACCTTCTTTGACCAAATTAAGAAAGCATATGAGACCTTACAAATCATAAGTGGTCACGGTTCCTGATTATCAGGATGGAAGCTCATGAACGTTTCAATTTAGAAGGAATTTTAATGTCTGGGAGATAGAAAAGGTGGAGATTTTACTTAATATTGCTAATAGCATATCCCCGAGTGTTACTAATATAATTTCCCTTTACTTATCAAAGAAAAAAGAAAGCATATGAGACCTAAGGGGTAAAAGACTTGGAAGTGCACAGTGAGTTGCTAAGGTCAACACATGTATGAAACATATCAAGACACCTGTTAGCATTGTGTGCTGTCAGTGCATATGAGGCAGCAATATATGAACTGAAAAGAAACAAACCATGTAAACTTCATCTCCTGTTGCATACTTTCCAGCATAATCTTTAAGTAGCTTTTCAAGTGCTGCAAAAGCAAATCTCTGTTAAGAAAACCTCTAGATCAACTGAGATAAATCCTTCTTCTAACAACTCCTACTGTTACAATTAAAATCAGTTTATTCTGGTGAACTGCAATCAACTGCAGTACATCAAACAATCAATCCTAGCACGTCGTGGCCACAGGAACCTTCTTTTGGGAAGTGTCTTCTGGAACTTTAATTACAAATGCCAAGGACCTAAGCATCTAAAACACATGCTACAGATCTACAGGAAACAACTTTTTTGGATATTAATTTGGTTTATTTCCTACAGGCATCAGCTTGATCCAAAATTCAAGAAGAGCAAAAGCATGTGGCTGTTACAAAGATGAGTTGATCTTAAAACAAGATTCAGAGGACGAAAAAAACAAGCAAGCAGGACCAGTGAAAGAAAAGGAGATGCAATTTCAGCAACCAGAAGCAAAAGTTTGCAAGAACAAGCCAACCAATCAATAGCTAATGCAAATTTGGCTGGGATATTGATAATGGCAAATAGTTGCCCCTGCTTGATAGGCTGGGTTACTACTAACAGAAAAGAAAATCTCTGTTATAAGCATCTGAATAGAAGTTCCATCAAATACCCAGTGCCTAAGAGCGAAACAGTAATTCAGCCTGAAGTTACTACAACAACCTTTACTGAGTCTAAGATTAACTAATACCAGCGAGTGCTAAGTTAGGTACTCGACAACTGCAAAATTACGTACAAGAAAATGACCATTCTAGTGTCTTCATCCAAGAATCTTAGGCTCTTCTTAGGGAACATTTGTAAAATTCCGAAAATTAATTGTAAGCCATTCATTTCTGCAACGTGAAGCACGCAGAGGTACTGTCCAAATCTAGTCCTATGAGCGGCATATGGGACCAAAATACTTATCAAAAACAAATTTATGGGACAGGAAGTAATGTATGTCTGCAAAGGCACTGAGAGCAATGTTACCTTCAAAGCCTTTTGTTATATGACTTTGAACCCAAGGGGTTGTCTCATTAGGGCCAACTTTTTCGTGGATGTACTTCTGTGAATGGGAAGGCCAAAAAAAAAGTAAAATCGTATGAATCTTTAAACACATGAAAATGACCTTATATGACCAGTGAACAGAATAATAATTTAAACTCACAAGTACAGCAAGATTCTGTAGAGGCTGAATGTTTGCCGCAACAATGTTTGCAGCCTGCAGAAATGGAAAACAAGGGAAGATATGCTAAATCAATTCCAATTCCAAGAACTTGGGTAAAATAATATTTCAGAAAGAAAAAAGAGGCAAACAGAAAGACATAGGAGACTAGGGATAAAGGTTGAGAAAGAGCTACAGGAATGCACTGGAATTAAAATTTCTCTCTTTCTGGCAGCTTATTTCATGAGAGGTATCAGTACTTTAATGAAGTGGAAGCAAAGAAGGCCATATTCCAGATAGATGACAGCAGAGTCCCAAAGTTTTCGATTACATGATATTTTCATCTGCTTAAGTGGATTATCCTACTTTGCTTATGGACTCAACAAAAGATGGACTTGGAAATACTAGACATCTGAGACGAGGAAACCGTGTAATTTTAGTCACTCAGGGCACATCTAAGTGATGAAACAATGAAATTCTAAGTCATCAGAAGATAATATTTAAAATGTACACCGTTCTTTGAATTCCTCAACAGGAAATAGATTGAAAACAAGTAGAATTGAATGATGTGCTAAACCATTCAACATTATACTATCTATATTTTTATAAGTATTTATCAGGGTATCTTAAGTTCTTTTTATTTTCAAATAAGCAACATTCGGTTTAAAAGCAATTGATTCATTCTCAATATGGAGGGAAGTGTTTCAGAAGAGATTCCAGGTAATAACCAAGTCATTTTCATTCCACTGCATGAAATCGCTAAAATTCAGAACTTCGGTCCAGCTGCTTAAGCTACATACGTACAGTGATATCAAATAATCAGACCCCAGAGCACGGTACTAAAAAACTATAGTTCCTATTTTTTTTAATCAACGCTAAAGAACTTTAGCTCTTGATGGCCATAAAATACCATCATCCACTTTTCCTTTGTACCTGATAGTTGATTGCTCTTTTCTGACAATCCTGAGGCAACAATGCTCGCTGGGGATACTTCTCTTCCAGATACTGCCAAAATCTTCTCATTACCAACATAGTACTGATAAAAAGTTACACACTCAAATGGCACAGCACAAGAAAAACGCACCATTAAGATAGCAAAAGAGTCAGCTATTACTGCATCTCCATCCACCAATGTTGGCACATATCCAAGGGGATTCAGCTTCAAGTATTCTATTCCACACATTACAAAGACGAAAAAGAAGGAAAATAAGTTCAAAAGAATTCTACAGTGATTTGTTTAACACCCCCAGAACCCAATTTACCGTCTTTAATCCTATATAATAAAAACCAGCACCTCCATGTAACATTATAACTAACAAATACCACACACTCTCTATTGATCAACAAGGGTGTATTTGGTATGGTTTTTCCATTTCTCCTATGCTTGGTGGGTCAAAATCTTTGGAGAACATTTTCAGTAGGAAAACAAACTGCTTAAAAATGAGGAGAAAGATTTCCCTAGTGGAAGTAGGGAAAAGAAACTCCACAAGTATCATTCCATACTGATTGTCTCTTTCCACCCTCCAATACACCTCACCCGCATTGACCCCCATACATACTTCCCATAGTGTTTGTGTAGATTTTACACACACTTGATATAATATTTTACACTTACATACCAAACACAAGAAAATAAGTAAAAAAATCAGTTATTTTCCAAGAGAACACTTTCCATCATACCAAACACACACCCAATCTTTCAACCGTTCAAAAACTCAAACACCCAAAAAAAAAAAAAAAAAAAAC